GACATTGGAGAGTTTAGGCCTTAAAATTATGAACTCAATATTGAGCCCGGAGGGCTGCAGGGTGCTGTTCTTCCAGCTTACATTGAGTTTCACTGGAGCACTACAGCAAGCCAGAGACAGAGATGTTGGCCATGGAACAGGGTGGTGCATTAAAGTAACTGGAAGCTCAGGGTCTACCTAGATGTTCTGCAAAGCGGTCACCCAGTCTACGTTTCGTTTCCCCAATGTAGACGAGGCGACATTGTGAGCAGCGAATGCAGTAGACTAGATTGTGGGATGTGCAGGTGAAGTGTTGCTTCACCTGGAAGGTATGTTTGGGGGGAGGGCTGGATGAACACAGCAGGCCAAGCAGCATCCCTTGGATAGTGGGGAGGGAGGAGGTAAATGGCCAGGTGTTGCACCTTCACCGGTTACAGGGGAAGGTGCCATAGGGCTGTGGGGGGAGTGAAGGAAGAGTGGGACTAGAGTGTCCCGGAGGGAACGGTCCCTGCGGAAGACGGACAGGGAGGGGAGGGGAGGGGAATATGTATCTGGTGGTGGCATCTTTCTGGAGGTGACGGAAATGGCGTCTGATGATCTTCTGGATGTGGATGCTGGTGGGATGGTAGGTGAGGATAAGGGGAACCCTATCACTGTTGCGGGAGGGAAGAGAAGGGGTGAGGGCGGAAGTGCAGGAGATGGGTTGGACCTGGTTGAGGGTCCTGTCGACAACGGACCTGGGCAAACCTTGGTTGAGGAAGAAGGTGAATATTTTGGAAGCTCCCTTGTCGAAGTTGGCCTCATCTGAACATATACGACGGAGGTGGAGGAACTGGGAGAATGGGATGGAGTCTTTACAGGAAGTGGGGTGTGAAGATCCATAGTCCAGGTAGCTGTGGGAGTCAGTGGGTTTATAATGGATATTAGTGGCCAGTCTATCCCCAGAAATGGAAACAGTGATGTCGAGGAAGGGAAGGGAGGAGTCAGAGATAGACCAGGTAAAAGTGAGGGCAGGGTGAAAATTGGAGGCGAAATTGATGAAGTTTTCCAAGAGAGGGAAGCAGCACCGATGATATCATCGATGTTCATTCATAGATTCACAGAATCCCTACAGTGTGGAAACAGGCCCTTCGGTCCAACAAGTCCACACCGACACAAAAAGCATCCCACCCAGACCGATCCCCCTAATCTACACATCCCTGAACACTACAGGCAATTTAGCATGGCCAATCCACCCTAACCTGCACATCTTTGGACTGTGGGAGGAAACCCACGCAGACACGGGGAGAATGTGTAAACTCCACATAGACAGTTGCCTGAGGGTGGAATTGAACCCAGGTCCCTGGCGCTGTGAGGCAGCAGTGGTAACCACTGAGCCACCGTGCCTCTGAGCAACGTATCGGAAAAAGAGCTGTGGGGGGTAGCGCGGAATAGGACTGGAACAAGGAATGTCCCAAGTACCTCATGAAGAGACAGACATAACTGGGGCCCATGCGGGTACCCATGGCCACCCCTCTTACCTGAAGAAAATGAGAGGAGTTAAAAGAGAAGTTGTTGAGGGTGAGGATGAGCAGAGGAGGATGGTGGTGGGTGGGGACAGTTCAGGTCTTTGCTCCAGGAAGAAGCGGAGAGCCCTAAGACCTGCCTGGTGGGGAATGGACGTGTAAAAGGATTGCATGTCCGTGGTTTTGAAACCGGCGTAAGGTGACAGAGGCTGTTTACAATAGGCCAAGAGACTATGGGAAATAAGCTTTCACAAGAGAGATAAGGGATTGCTTTATGACCTGTAGTTGCTCGATTAATAAATTTTGCAAGGCGCTCAGCACTGATGGTTGGCTAAGTAGAGCATCTGGACTTCTGGTTTGTGTTTTGCCATGAACTCGAGAGTCATATGGTTGTGAAGAGCCATCGAGGAAGCAATGCTATCTCTCTCTCTCTGTGAGTGACAACATAACCCTTAAAAAAAACCAATTGGACAAATATCCCACTGAAATATTTCCCCAGTTTCAGAGAAATCAATATCTCCGATTTCCTCATCAACTCAGAAAGACAAACCGCGCGCTCAGTTGAGAGACCGGAGTCTTAACTGACCTGCTCCTGAACTGAAGGGTCAGCCCTCTCTCATCACTCTGTGATAGAAATGACTTGGATGGAGGAAACTAAATCCAACATTGTCAAATTTACTGACAATCCAACACTGGGAGGGATTGAGAATTGTGAGGAGGATGCATGGAGGTTTCAAGGTGATTCAGACAAGTTAACGTGGCTAAAAGTGAAGTTGTACACTTTGGTGTGAGAAACAGAAAGGAAGAATATTATTTAAATAGTGATATATTGGGAAGTGTGCATGTTTAAAGGGATCTTGGTGTCCTTGTACACCAGTCAATGGAAATAGACAAACAGATGCAGCAAGCAAGTAGGAAGGCAAATGGCACGTTGGCCTTCATTGTAAGAGGGTTTGAGTATAGAATTATTGAATTCCTACAGTGCAGAAAGAGGCCATTTGGCCCATCAAATCTTGCACACGAACCACGCTCTGTGTAAAAAAAGTTGCCCCTCATGTCCTTTATAAATCTTTCTCCTCTCACCTTAAAAATGTGCCCCTTAGTTTTGAACTCCCACACCCCAGGGAACAGCCCCTTGTCATTCACCTTATCTATGCACCTCCTGATTTTATAAACCTCTGTAAGGTCACACCTCAACCTCCTATGCTCAAGTCCCAGTCCTTCCAGTCTATTTTTATATCTCAAAATTTCCATTCCCACCAACCTTCTGGTAAATCTTTTCTGAACTCTCTCCAGTTTAATAACATCTTTCCTATAGCGCTAAAATTGTTAATCGAGCAGTTAAAGGTCATAAAGCTCAGAAGAGGCCTCAGCGACGTCCTGCACAAACTCAACATGATGTCCCCAACTCCTATACTCAAAGGTCTGAGCAATGAAGGCAAGCATGCTAAACATCTTCTTAACCCCCCTGTTTACCTATGATGGAAATTTCAATGAATTATGTCCCTGAACCCCGAGGTCTCTCTGTTCTACCGCACTACCGAAGGCCCTACCATTAATTGTATATGTCCTGCCCTTGTTTGTTTTACCAAAATGCAATACCTCACATTTATCCAAATTAAACTCCATCTGCCACTCCTCAGCCCATTGGCCCAATGATCAAATCTCTTTGTAATCTTAGACAACCCTCTTCACTGTCCACTTTACCACCAATTTTGATGTCATTCACAAACTCACTAACCATGCCTCCTGTATTCTCATTCAAATCATTTATATAAAAGCAGACCCAGCACCAATCCCTGGTCACAGGCCTCACGGTGTGAAGACAAGGTTACAAACTATTCTGAACTTTTTATTTCTTCATTTTTCTAATTTATTCATACAATCTGTAATGCTGGATATTTTATTTCTTTTATTTTGCCAAACTTTTTTGTAACAATCTGCACCTTTGTACCTACGATGGCACCATTAAGTGGCGACTTGCAAACTTTTCACTGTCTTCATGTGAGTACATATGTCAATAAAGCTCATTCTAAGGCTAATTCTAACAAAGACAATTTTTTGAAATAACTGGGAGTTGAGGGCGATGAGGAGCTGGAGTTGAGGCTTGAGGCAAATCAGGCATGAAATGGCGGAGCAACTGGAGAGGCCACATGGCCTACTTCTGCTGCTATTTCTCAAGTCTTAATGTACCAGTAAACAGCGATATTTGCTAAATCACTGAATTACCCACTCTCGTGGCACACTCCTCAAAATGAGGGAGCTATCACAAAGTAGAATTACAGCATTAAATTCAATGAAATTAAGATGAGCAAGAATTTCACAAACAGCCAGTTTGAGAGGGAGGGTGAAGCAACATCCTTATATATTACAAATTGGGAACATGCTTTGGAAAAGATAGCAATCTTCCCAACAGCAGCCCAATGAGTTGTGTGGCTTTTAAAGACTTTGCTGTGTAGCTGCCACATTGAGATTATTGTACAGATTAACACAGTTCGTACTAATGTTAAAGTAATGTATGAGCCCTCTACAGGGCTGTCAGCAATAGTCTTTAATAATGGGAGCATTTGGCGATGACTGCACAATGTTCAGCATCATTTGTGAGTCCTCAGTTATTGAAACAGTCCGTGTTTGATTGCAGCAAGACCGGACAGTATGCAGGCTGAGAAGTGACCAGTAACATTCACGCCCCACAGGTGTTGGACCATGAACATCTCCAAAAAGAGAGAATCTAACCGTTGGACTTCAACATTCAATGGCGTTACCATCATTGAAAGGCCACTATCGACATCCTGGGGGTTACCCTTGACCAGCATTTTGGGTACTGTTGCTAGAAGAGCAGGTCAGGGGCCAGGAATACTGCAGTGAGTAACTGGCAGAAGTTTGACACTCTTATGACTATTTTACCTTTGCTTATTTTTCAAATAAATCTATTGGAGGTGTAGCTATGGTGGTGGAATTAGGTACAAATTTTCAATAGACGCCACACATTCCCAAAGGTCTCATCATTCAGTTGTAGGAAGAAGGAATTCTACCCGAGCCTTGGCCTTCACTATTCTTGGCCACACCTGTCCTTGCCCTACAATGTGGAAGTTCTTTCCTTAAACTCACCTTTTTCAACATTGGTTACTGAGCCAGCTAACTGTAAATGTTTGAGGAAGGCTTCCAACTGTGTTTTACGTTCTGCCCGGTTGTTATTATACATTAATGTACGTGCTCAGTAAACCACATAATTATGTACACTTGTTACAATTTGGCTCCTGAGTCTTTGGAAAGTTAGCAGGAGCATTTTGAAATCCAAATGGTATGCCTTGACATCGACGTAGCCTGTTTGAGATACCTGAAGCTGACATCTCTTTAGCCCTTGATGTCAATAGTACTTGCCAACAGCACTTCAATAAATCCAACTTAGCAAGGAACAAGGCACTGCCAACCCCGTCGATACAGTTGTCTAATCAAGGACTTGGGTGCACATCTATTTTTGTAACTGCATTTACTTTTCCCTAACCTGTGCAGATTCATCGGGCTTAGGATTTGTTACCATGGGAGAGTTCCGACTGCTGTAGCTAGGTTCAATCAAGTGATTTTTTTTACATGTATCCAGTCGCTGTCTTCACCTGAGTGTGTTGTTCTGTCCTTAAACAGTAAGATCCTTTATTGGCACTGATTCAGCCATATCCACATCATGTCGAGCCAAGGTTAGATGGTGAAACTCTATCGTTGTCCTTGGGTTCCATTGATAACCTCAATAAAGATTCTCATTCTCCTTCCTCTAAGTGTGAGAATATGGTGTCTTATTTGTCCCAATGTATTGCTATAGGAGGCACAGTTTGTGAATTATCTACATCTCCTTCAACCTCACTCTCACTCTCACGTTGGGCTTAAATGCAGACAGCTTATGTACCTGAGGTATATAAGATACTAAAGGGGATTGACAGTGTGGACGTGGAGCAGATGTTTCCTTTTGTGGGGCAGTCTAGAATGAGAGGTTGTAGATTTAGGATGAGGGGTGACAGATTTAAAACCGAGGGGAGGAGGAATTACTTCTCCCAAAGGGTTGTGAATCTGTAGAATTCACTCCCCCAGAGTGCGGTGGATGCCGGGACACTAAATAATTTTATTGTAATTTAAATTTTATTTAATAATTTAACTATATATTAATTATTTACATTTATTGCGATCGTTTAAATTTAAGATATACTTCTGTCAGTAATAGATTCAAGGGTTTTGGAGGTTGGGCAGGAAAGTGGAGTTGTGGTCAGGATGAGATCAGCAATGGTCGTACTAAATGGTAGAGCAGATTCGAGGGGCCGAATGGCCTGCACTGCTCCCAGTTTGTGAACTCCTCCAATACCTTTAGCACTTGGCACAGCTGCTCCTTCCTATCTTCTTGTCTGCAATGACACTGTTTTGACATGTTAGTGTGACAATCGACTCACCTTCCTGCAATCTACAGTCTTTATCAGATCTCATTCACATTACCCAACCCTCTTAATGACTGTACTGATCACGGAACCTTGCTTTCAGAGGTTTACCACAAACTTGGCAATAGTACATTCATTTCCCTCGTCCAAGTCATTCATATAGATTGTAAATAATTGTGGCCCCAGCACTGATCCTCATGGTGTCCCACTAGTTACAGGTTACCATCCTGAAAATGCCCCCCTTTATCCCAACCTTCTGTCTTCTATTAGTCAGTCAATCCTCCAACCCTCATTACGTGCCACCTCCAACACCATGGGCACTTCTTAATTAGCCTAATGTGTGCTACCCTATCAAACACCTTCGGAAGATCCGGATATATTACAGCCACTGCTTCCCCTTTATCCTGCTTTTACCTAGAATCATACAATCCCTACAGGCCATTCAGCCCATTGAGTCCACAGCAGCCCTCTGAAGAACATTCCACCCAGACCCACCCCATACCCTGTCTCTCTAACCCTGCATTGCCCATGGCTAACCCACCTAGCCTGCACATCCCTGGGCACTTTGGGGCAATTTAGCACAGCCAATTCATCCTAACCTGCACAGCTTTGGACTGTGGGAGGAAACTGGAGCACCCGGAGGTGCCCCACGCAGATTGTAATGCCATTGAACGTTAAGGACCAATGGTTAGATTCTCTCTTTTTTGGAGATGGTCATTGTACAACACTTGTATGGTAAGAATGTTACTTATCACCCATCAGGCTGGATACCGTCCAGGTCTTGCTGGAATTGAATACAACGGCTTCAATATCTGTGGAGTCATGAATGGTGCTGAACATTGTGCAATTATCAGCGAACATCCTCACTTCTGACCTTCCAATGGGGAGAAAGGTCATTGATGAAGTAGCTAAACATGAATGAGCCAAGAACACTACCCTGATGAGTGCAGAGATGTCCCGGAGCTGAGATGACTGTACTCCACCAACCACAACCAGCTTCCATTGTTCATGGTACGACTTTATATGGCAATTGATGCCGTGGTCATAGAATTCAAAGATGACAACTTGAGCAAAGAGAAGCCAGTAGGGTACTGTTCTAAGCCCTCAATTCACTGCTCTGTAGTGGCTAATGAAACCACGGGATTGTTATTAGCTCTTAAACATTTTGAAGGTTATGTCTGACAGAAACAGCCATAAAGAAATATTAATGTACATTGGCCATGATCCTTCAGCTTTTGTGAAATAATTCAAAATTTGAGATTCTTTCGATGGAGTTTGTTAATTAAACCTTACAATATAAGAACTGAGCATTTCAATGGAAAGGATAATATAACTGGAGGTGCATTATGCAGAAGTGAAAAAGCTGAAACAGCTTACAGATTAAAAGGTGGCAAGAAATTGTATAAATCCTGTGTACGTGCGAATGAGAATGAATGAAGTGAACATTTTCCTGTTTGTCGTATATGTGACGTGTTTACATACACACACACA